CCCCTCCCAGCAGTGTCACCACAACCCAAGAGGGGGGTCTTAACACTTCATTTCTTCTTAATTAGCTTAATGAAGGACTCACAGAAGATGGTGAGTCGCTGCATCTACCTGAACATCTTGCTGCAGACGCGGGCGCAGGAGATCCTGGCAAAGTAAGAGCGAGGAAATGGGGGTCTGGGGGGGGTCTAAACCAGCAGGAATTGGGGGGGGGCGCCCCTTTTTTTGCCTGATCTTGACGGATTTTCTTTCTTTTTCCCCCAGATTTATCCGCATCGGGGGTTACAAGCTGCTCAACACCTGGCTCACCAGTTCCAAAGCCACCAACAACGTCCCCTTCCTGCAGCAGATCCTCCTCACCCTCCAGCACCTGCCCCTCACCGTCGACCACCTCAAACAGGTCGGGGTGGCCCCCGGGTGTCCCCCCCCCTGCTGGCTTTAGGGTCCCCAGGTGGCTTTTGTGTCCCTTCAAGGTGGCTTTTGTCTCCCTGGGTGATTTTTGTGACCCTCAAGGTCCCCAGGGTGGCTTTTGTCCCCTTGGTGTTGCTTTTGTCACCCCCCTTGGCTGGCTTTTGGGTCCCTCCCTGGTGCCTTGTGTCTCCCCTGGTGGCTTTTGTTCCCCCCAGTGGATTTTTGTGTCCTTCTTGGGTGACTTTTGGGTCCCCAGGGTGGTTTTTGTCATCTTGGTGTTGCTTTTGTGTCCCCTAAAGGGGCTTTTATCTCCCTTGGGTGGCTTTAGGCTCTCCTGAGTGTCTTTTGGGTTCCCCTTGGATATTTTTTGGGTCCCTCCTGGGTGGCTTTTGTCTCCCCTGGTGGCTTTTGGGTCCCCCCCCGGGTGATTTTTGTGTCCCTTCCAGGTGGCTTTTGGGTCCCCAGGGTGACTTTTGTCTCCATGGCCTGGCTTTTGGGTCCCTTCAGGGTGGCTTTTTTCTCCCTGGGTTGGCTTTTGTGTCACTCCAGGGTGGCTTGTGTCCCTCCCATGTGGCTTTTGTGTCCCTAGGGTGGCTTTTGTCTCCTTGGCATTGCTTTTGTGCCCCCCCAGAGAGGCTTCACTCTCTCCCAGATGACTTTTGTGTCCCTCTTTGGTGGCTTTTGTCTCCTCGGGTGATTTTTGTGTCCCCCTGAGGTGGTTTTTAGGTCACTCCAGGGTGGCTTGTGTCCCTCTCAGATGGCTTTTGTGTCCCCAGGGTGCCTTTTGTCTCCTTGTCCTTGCTTTTGTGCCCCCCCTTGGCTGGCTTTTGGGTTTCTCCCAGGTGGCTTGTGTCTCCCTTGGTGGCCTTTGGGTCCTCAGGGTGGCTTTTGTCATCTTGGTGTTGCTTTTCTGCCCCCTGAGGTGGGTTTTTCGGTCCCCTAAGGGGGCTTTTGTCTCCCTTGGGTGGCTTTAGTCTTTCCCCAGTGACTTTTAGGTCCCTCTCTGGTGGCTTGTGTCCTTCCAGGGTGGCTTTTGTCTCCTTGGTGGTGTTTTTGTGCCCTTCAAGGTGGCTTTCGGGTCCCTCCATGGTGGCTTGTGTCTCGCATGGTGGCATTTGTGTCCTCCTGAGTGATTTTTGTGTCACTCCAGGGTGGCTTGAGTCTCTCCCGAGTGGCTTTTGGGTCCCCAGAGTGCCTTTAGCTTCCTTGGTGTGGCTTTTGTGTCCCCTGAGGTGGCCTTTATCTCCCTTGGGTATCTTTAGTCTCTCCCAGGTGATTTTTAGGTCCCCCAATGTGGCTTTTAAATCCCTCGTAGGTACCTTTTGTCTCTTGGGTGACTTTTATGGCCCCCAAAGGTGGTTTTATTGTCCTTTCTGGGTGACTTTTGTCTCTCTGGGGTGGCTTTTGGGTGCCCTAAAGGTGACTTTTGTCTCTTGGGTGACTTTTATGTCTCTCTGGGGTGGCTTTTGGGTCCTCTAAAGGTGACTTTTGTCTCTTGGGTGACTTTTATGTCCCTCAAGGTGGCTTTTGGGTTCCTCCCAGGTGGCTTGTGTCTTACCCTGTGCCTTTTATGTCCCCCCAGGGTGGCTTTTGTCCCCTTTAACTGGCTTTTGTCCCCCCCAGGGTGGCTTTTGTCCCCTTTAAAGGGCTTTTGTCCCCTCCAGGGTGGCTTTTGTCCCCTTTAACTGGCTTTTGTCCCCCCACAAGCTCCCCCTCACCCCACATCTCCCTCTTTTCCAGAACAACACAGCCAAGCTGGTGAAGCAGCTCAGCAAGTCGAGCGATGATGAAGGTGAGCACTCCCCAAAACCCCTCAGACCCCCCAAAAACCCCTAAATCTCCCCCCCAACCCCTCTTTTAACCCTTTCTCTCCCCACAGAGCTGCGCCGTCTCGCTTCCATCCTCGTCAGCGACTGGATGGGGGTCATCCGCTCCCAGAGCAGCGCCCAACCGCAGCAGATCCTCCTCACCCTCCAGCACCTGCCCCTCACCGTCGACCACCTCAAACAGGTCGGGGTGGCCCCCGGGTGTCCCCCCCCCTGCTGGCTTTAGGGTCCCCAGGTGGCTTTTGTGTCCCTTCAAGGTGGCTTTTGTCTCCCTGGGTGATTTTTGTGACCCTCAAGGTCCCCAGGGTGGCTTTTGTCCCCTTGGTGTTGCTTTTGTCACCCCCCTTGGCTGGCTTTTGGGTCCCTCCCTGGTGCCTTGTGTCTCCCCTGGTGGCTTTTGTTCCCCCCAGTGGATTTTTGTGTCCTTCTTGGGTGACTTTTGGGTCCCCAGGGTGGTTTTTGTCATCTTGGTGTTGCTTTTGTGTCCCCTAAAGGGGCTTTTATCTCCCTTGGGTGGCTTTAGGCTCTCCTGAGTGTCTTTTGGGTTCCCCTTGGATATTTTTTGGGTCCCTCCTGGGTGGCTTTTGTCTCCCCTGGTGGCTTTTGGGTCCCCCCCCGGGTGATTTTTGTGTCCCTTCCAGGTGGCTTTTGGGTCCCCAGGGTGACTTTTGTCTCCATGGCCTGGCTTTTGGGTCCCTTCAGGGTGGCTTTTTTCTCCCTGGGTTGGCTTTTGTGTCACTCCAGGGTGGCTTGTGTCCCTCCCATGTGGCTTTTGTGTCCCTAGGGTGGCTTTTGTCTCCTTGGCATTGCTTTTGTGCCCCCCCAGAGAGGCTTCACTCTCTCCCAGATGACTTTTGTGTCCCTCTTTGGTGGCTTTTGTCTCCTCGGGTGATTTTTGTGTCCCCCTGAGGTGGTTTTTAGGTCACTCCAGGGTGGCTTGTGTCCCTCTCAGATGGCTTTTGTGTCCCCAGGGTGCCTTTTGTCTCCTTGTCCTTGCTTTTGTGCCCCCCCTTGGCTGGCTTTTGGGTTTCTCCCAGGTGGCTTGTGTCTCCCTTGGTGGCCTTTGGGTCCTCAGGGTGGCTTTTGTCATCTTGGTGTTGCTTTTCTGCCCCCTGAGGTGGGTTTTTCGGTCCCCTAAGGGGGCTTTTGTCTCCCTTGGGTGGCTTTAGTCTTTCCCCAGTGACTTTTAGGTCCCTCTCTGGTGGCTTGTGTCCTTCCAGGGTGGCTTTTGTCTCCTTGGTGGTGTTTTTGTGCCCTTCAAGGTGGCTTTCGGGTCCCTCCATGGTGGCTTGTGTCTCGCATGGTGGCATTTGTGTCCTCCTGAGTGATTTTTGTGTCACTCCAGGGTGGCTTGAGTCTCTCCCGAGTGGCTTTTGGGTCCCCAGAGTGCCTTTAGCTTCCTTGGTGTGGCTTTTGTGTCCCCTGAGGTGGCCTTTATCTCCCTTGGGTATCTTTAGTCTCTCCCAGGTGATTTTTAGGTCCCCCAATGTGGCTTTTAAATCCCTCGTAGGTACCTTTTGTCTCTTGGGTGACTTTTATGGCCCCCAAAGGTGGTTTTATTGTCCTTTCTGGGTGACTTTTGTCTCTCTGGGGTGGCTTTTGGGTGCCCTAAAGGTGACTTTTGTCTCTTGGGTGACTTTTATGTCTCTCTGGGGTGGCTTTTGGGTCCTCTAAAGGTGACTTTTGTCTCTTGGGTGACTTTTATGTCCCTCAAGGTGGCTTTTGGGTTCCTCCCAGGTGGCTTGTGTCTTACCCTGTGCCTTTTATGTCCCCCCAGGGTGGCTTTTGTCCCCTTTAACTGGCTTTTGTCCCCCCCAGGGTGGCTTTTGTCCCCTTTAAAGGGCTTTTGTCCCCTCCAGGGTGGCTTTTGTCCCCTTTAACTGGCTTTTGTCCCCCCACAAGCTCCCCCTCACCCCACATCTCCCTCTTTTCCAGAACAACACAGCCAAGCTGGTGAAGCAGCTCAGCAAGTCGAGCGATGATGAAGGTGAGCACTCCCCAAAACCCCTCAGACCCCCCAAAAACCCCTAAATCTCCCCCCCAACCCCTCTTTTAACCCTTTCTCTCCCCACAGAGCTGCGCCGTCTCGCTTCCATCCTCGTCAGCGACTGGATGGGGGTCATCCGCTCCCAGAGCAGCGCCCAACCGACCGGTGAGCCCCCCAAAATGCCCCCTCTGTCCTTCTCCCCTCAATCCAACCCCAGCACCTCACCCTTTTCCCCATCTTTTCCCCCCAGAACGGGATAAAAAGAAGCGAAAAGAAGAAAACAAAAGCAAAACCCCCGTCCAAGAGAAACCCCAAGAAGCCAAAAGCGAAGCTAAAACCGAGGAGGTGCCGGAGAAGAAAAGGGAAAAACCCAAATCCCTGCGGACCACTGCTCCCAGTCACGCCAAATTCCGCTCCACTGGTACGTGGTGGCACCTTTTGGAGCTGGTTTGGGTTTTTTGGGGGGGATTTGAGGCCTTGCAGTTGCTCTTGGGGTGCTACGAGGGGATGTACTAACGAGGTTTCTCCCCAAAACAGGGCTGGAAATGGAGACTCCTTCGTTAGCGCCCGTGAAGAAAATTAACTCTTCTTC